TAACAGCCTATATTGGAATTCCAACCGAAAAAGAATGCGTATGATCTGTTCCAGAATCAGTCTGCAAGGCTATTACAGAGTCCAAGTTTGCATGCAACGAGAACGTATCCCTTATTACGGTTGGACCTTGTCCATGTATCAAATGAAGTACCAACACACAGCTACGCAGCAAGAAGACACGCCGAGTATGCTACTGTTAAGCGTGCTATTAAGTCCCTAAACGGTAGAGTGTATGAAGACGATGACAAGGAGGCTCTTCGTCGGTATCTGCCGTGCAGCTTTTTCCCATAACAAGTCAAATACTCATTGGTCCATCATTGGCCTCATTCATTACGCGGCACAAATCAAGGTTCTTACTTTTACACATCGCTTTCTCTACTGTCACGATACAAAGATGTAATGTTCTGTTGAACAAACAAGAAGTGTTCATAAGACACTACGATATTACACAAACAGATCAGGCTTATCTTAGAACCAGGCGCTCCACTATCTGTGTCGAAACAAAGATCTAGAGAATGTGTCAGTGAAGAGGTTTTACGAGCTTTACGAGGAACGACAATGAAGAGTGTCAACAGGCGGAAGCGTCAGCGAACTGATGAGGAGGAATGGCCTTTTATGGCTGACACTGGGCATTTCGTCATCCATCAGCGATCAAAGGGAAACGACGGGGTTGTTAACTGGTGAAATTCAGCGGGAGTAATTTTGAGGAAAGGAGAAGCATTGGTTCGGGTTCCACAATGGGCCTTCTCAGATGCAGGCGCTTTTTGGTGCGAATATCCTGACGTGTCCTACTGGCGAACTGAACCAGCGCAATGGATACTTATGCGGAAGATCTATTGGGTTTGTACTTGCCGCATCGACGTTTGGCTGATTTAAAGAAGTCCTAACCCAGACCAACTATGCTTTCGATGAAAGACTTCGTGAAGCGTATGAATACGATGTTTCTGAGAAAAGCGAATAACGAAGACCGTCGTCTTCTCAGAAAGAACCTGTCATTCATCCAGAACATTCAAGACCACCGCTTTCAACAACCCGAGGTTTAAGGTGAAGAGGATGAACTTCAACGAGTTACCAAGCGCCTATAGACCGGAAAATTGGGAGGAGAACATCGTACGAAAACGAGATCTGATGATGAGCACGATCAATGAGGAAGATGATCTGATTCAAAAGGTTTACGAAGATTGAATACGTGATCTTGAGAGCCAGGGCACAACAGATTCAAACCGGACTTTCTGGCAAGCACATTTGATGGTCTAGTTTTACGGCTATACGTCACAATTGAAGCGACAACGCAGGATACAACGTGCGTTACCCATACCTGAGAATTCGTAGATAAAGACGAATTGTTACCATAAGTGCTGACTTTCACACGACTGGCACTAAAAAGAGAAGCAGAGTGAACCGACTACACCTCGATATCACAAGATCATGAAGTTCTACTTAACAAAAGGGAGTGCATCCAAAGGGCAATGTATTTAAGTACAATCGGCAGGTTGAAGTGTGGCAGCGCAACATGGTGAAGCGTGAGATGTATAAGTGACTGGGCAACGGCTGCGCAAATCTGGACGCAAACAGAGAAGGGCCTTTCGAGTGATATCATTGCAGCCTTCTTGTTACATTTTATGAGGAAGCTGAAAAGGTGGACTTAGGGATGGGTCCCGGATATGGGGTTGAAGGAAAAGTCCGACTTTCTCGTAAAACCTTTTTATTTTGAAGGGAAGTCGTGGCACCAACTGATTCTTCTTCTACATGGGCCTGGAGGAAGTGGAAGACTACCGTAATTGACTTAGTCATGCCTATGGCAAAGAATTCTGCAGTTTGATTGATCATCCATTTAACACCGAACATTGTTGTCACTGCTATGTCGGGGTTGCTGCTACAATACATGGCATGGGGAAACAACGCATTCAGCTGTGGGATTGACAGAACTCGGGAAGTGTGCGAAGAACTTGGTAGAAGAATGGAGTGCGCCCGGATGCTTATCATCGACGAAATTTCATTCGCGGGGGGACTTGACTTAGTGAAGATATTCCACTACACCAAGACATGATGCAAGACGAATACCAACCATTTGGGGACTTAACTTGTGTTCGCGGGGGACTACTCTCAATTGAACCAGTGGGACGCCCCCCAATTTACAATCTTCAGCACACCATTCCTGATTTCATGACTCTCTGAATTCATTTATTGAGTTAGATGGAATGCACCGCTTCAAAGACGATCCTGAATGGGGGCAACGCTGTTTAAGATTCCGTGAAGGGCGACCAACAGAAGAAGATATGAGACCATCAATGAGCCGCGTGGTTGGCCCAACCATGTTCCACAGAGAACATTCAAGTTGCTACTTATCTGAATCGAGATCGAGATGCCATTAACTCAGCTATCTTCGAAGAATTTTGCGGAAGAACAAACCTGCTGAAGATTCCGTGCTGATGGATGCAGTACTCATTTTCATGGACGTCTTCAAATGGCCAATCAAGCAGGGACACTGGTTCCTGTTAAGAGCAATTCGGTTTTAAGCACTTCTTTTCAACATGTGGAGAAGACTCGTTAAAACCCGGTTCGGACTCACGAAAACGTGTTGATCCTGCTTTGAAGATTATATAAGGGGTGTCCTGTAATGTTTAAAGAGAAACGAATGTTCCGAATGGAGAAGACAATGGATCTCGGCTTTTGTGAGAAAGGTGAATTGAGGGATGGTTGCACCCCCATGTTATTCAACTCGACAACGGCTGCAAGATTCGGGCTTTTTTCTCAGGTCAAGTCAAATCTATCCTTGTGGAACATGAAATGGAGACTATTATGCCACGTACTTTTTATGTAACGGAGCAAGACTACACTTTCAGTACCAGATGGTTTTATGACGGAGAAGTTGTACACACCAAGATGAGGGTAAGCAGTTCCCGATTATCAGCAATCTGCGACAACGGACACAAATTACAGGGATATACTGCAGTGTGTGTTATTGGTACATTCATGGCGATACTGTCAAAACTGGGCTTACGTGGTGTTATCAAGGGTGCGAACCATGAGTGGTTTGTTCTTATTGAAGAAGCTGGATTGGGATCCAAAAAACTTTGCCATGCCACAACGAATGAGAGACATGCTTGCAAGATTTAAGGATACTATTGGGCTTTCTGTCCTAGGAGAAGATCAATACGATGAAATGTTCCAGCGAGAAGACGGTTCTTGTTATAAGTATAAACGGTAGGGATACAGGGTAAATTAATCTGTATATAAAAACTTTTATTTACTACAACTACCTTTCTGAGATTCGCATTGCACCTCGTACGTCATTCAATGTCAGTCATTGAAAAAAGATCAAGCGTCAATCAAATCACAGGCGACCCCGAAAAATTAGGAGCCAACTTTTAAAATGTGAAGAACGCAAGGCGACTTTCATGTGCATGTACATGCGTGACTGTATCCCGTCAATAATACTAGTCGAATACGTAGACTTCTACAGGCCTTCTAAGTAATGCGCGCGGGTATAATTCAAACCTCTGCCCCCATCGGTACCATTACCCTAAAGCAAATCGTCTCCAGGAGACGAAATTCTGAGGATCCAAAATCCTGGTGGCGTGTTCCGAATACAAGGCGAATTTTTATTCGACTTGCTCGATCTATGCGATCATGCACCCCCCTCGTCCGCTCGCAAAGCTCGTTGCACGGGAGGAACTGGCTATCATACTAGCTAGCTAGTACGGTAGTGGACTAAGCACAGTTGGTTGCACTCTCCCCATGACTCTAAACACAGCAAGGATGATTAGAACTACATGCAGACTCACATTTATTTGTTATTTGATCTTGATAGAAAGGTTGGCAGACACTGCAGATAGTGTTAGTAGGCAGACAGTGATCCCCTCATTCTTTGCTCTGATCAGCAGCCAGCCAGTTGGAAGGATCGCCATGTGCTTTCCGTCCCAAAGCCCACCCATCCCTCTCAGGGCAGTGGATCCCAGGTGTAAATCACCCACTTCTTCTGTTCCCAATCCTATCTAGCTAGGCGCTTTTAATCAAGATGGCCATACCGTACATCCAGGAATACCCACTCTCTGGACTTCGACGTACTGTAGATGATCATAGTACTGTAGTACCGGTACGGTAGGAGCCACTGCCTCACCCATGTCATCTGCAGCACGGAAGCTGAGGGTGGCTTGGACTCCAGGAAGACTCGGGTGGACAGTCCTTCTCAGAGTTGCCTTTCAAATGAAATACCTCTGTGATGGCACATTGAACTTGCTTGGGGCGGGTATTGCTATCATCCCTTTCTGGTTGAGTTGATAGTTGATACAGGTGTGTAGAGAGTGCATTATTGTCAATCCATTGACAAGAAACGCACCTTCCTTCACGCACCACACCGCACCTCTCTGGGTCGGGCTCAAAGGCTCAAGCCAGGGGCGATACCATAGTGGATTGCGGATTGCGGCGTCGAAGGATTACCGACTACCAGCTGATTAGTGATTAGACTATTACCATACCGGTACGGTGTGCTAAACAGTACATGTACTCCGAGGACTAAGTGCAGTATTACGGTACCCGTACATGTACCGATACCAGCTTTGAGTGGTCAACTCACCGTCTTTGGGGAATGGGGTACGAGAATTAATCAAAGTAGAGTACTAATTACACGAAGCAAATACTCAGTATCCCGGATTGCTTGGACTTAGGTTTCTGACTTCAACCCCCCGAGTGCCTTAGTCAGTCATCTTCACTAAGTGCGAAGACTTTGTGTCACACTATGAGGGCAACGTGAGAGATAACAATTGCAGGAGTAATAAGTCCAATAAACTCCTTCAACCAGAACACTTCTGCTATTTAATTGTTGATATATTCTCCATGACCTTCAGTGGTCAAGAAACAGACTTATCACTCAATCTTTTTACAATTAAGTGCGGAAGTGCAAACGAACAAAAGAACACAGAGGAAGTTTTAAAAGCTTCTCGAAAGTTTGAAGATCTCCCCCTCCCCGCACGGCCTTCACCTCTCACAGATTACTTCACAATTCACAAAACGCTCAAAAGCCAAAAGCAGCTCTTCAGTTTCTCTACTGGCTAGCTACCTACCAGTAGTCCAACACCGCAACCGATACCCCCCAAATCCTCCTCCTACGTAGATAGCAAAATAGTAGCAGAGTCCCACCCCCATTGCACACAAGGAAGGAAAGACCATGGATGACAAGAGTTTCAAGGACGAAGGCAGCGACCATGGAAGCAGTGCTGGAGAAGAAGCAGGCAGTTGCAGCGTTCTCGATGTCAGCAGCAGCAACAACAAGAATGACCGACAAGAGATCGTGCATCGTTTGAAACAAGAGCTTCGAAAGCAAGACAACACCAGCGCTGTTCGAGCCTTGCGGATCATGGTGCTGGGGCTCTTGTTTGCGGCGGCAGCCGGTGTCTCGCTCGGGTTGTTCTTTTATGCTACCAACGAAGAACAAGATGACTTTGAAACGGCCTTTGAGATTCACGCCACCAAGATCCTCGAGTCGTTTAGCAACACCTTGGAACGTCGATTGGTGGCCTTTGATACGCTGGCCAACACCATTACCAACTATGTCCATTCCACTCCGGGAGTGGAGTTCCCGTTTGTGACGCTGCCCAACTTTGAAGTGGCAGGAGCCGGTTACCGCGTCCAAGGCAGCAACGCCATTGTCCATTTCATGCCCATGGTGACCAACGAGAAACGAGAAGCCTGGGAAGTCTATTCCTTGGAGAATCGATTTCACATTGATAGGTCCTTTCTACGAGACAAGACTCTGAGACAAAACCAAGATGCTGCCTTTGAAGACTTGCTCACCACCATGGAAGCGGCGGAAGAGTCGGCTGGCAAGCAAAAGAGCGATGAGGGACAACGGTCTTTGCAGCAAGGACAAGCAGCAGCAGAAACAGAGGAGCAAGAACCTGAAATCTACAATATTACATTGGAAAGGAACAACGTAACCGAAACGTTTACGGTGGAGGACAATGTGCTGCAGGATGGCACCGGCTTTCACCCCAAGCTTTATTTTAGAAGTCCAGCTACGGGTGTCGCGGTACTGCCACCCAGGTCGGGTCCATTCTTTCCCCTTTGGCAACGGTCTCCTGTCAACGTTGTCAAGCAAGGAACTCTCAATCTCAACTTTATGGAGGGAGTCACCCTCAAGGGAGTCTTGCCCTATTTACTGGAAGACCCCAAGTGCCTCGTCAATAGGGCCATCATTCTACCGCAAAACGAGGACGGCAACTTCAAAAAGAATCTCCTGTTGAGTCAATACCGACACTCGGTGGACGAGTACAGCTGGGATCCCGTCTCATTTGCTGTCTACCCCATCTTTGATGACTTTTACAATCCTACCGAGTCGGTTCAACATCATCGTGATCATCTCGCGGGGGTCCTCGTGACAAACTTTTATTGGCGCCTCTACTTCCAAGACATTCTTCCCGCCGATGCCAAGGGTATCATCCTCGTCTTGTCGAATTCATTCAACCAGACATTCTCGTACAGAGTGGATGGACCCGATGTCACCTTCTTGGGAGAAGTGGATCCTGTGGACATGTACCAAAAGTACAAAGACATGGGTGTCACCGTGGATGCGACGTCGTATGCAAAAAGTCGAGCTCGCCCGGAAACCAGGACGTATACGACTGTCCCACTTCACGACACCTTTGGTGTCTACACCCTCAGCGTCTACCCATCCGCGGATACGGAAAACGAGTATACTTCCAAGCAACCGCTCATCTTTTGTCTCGTTGTGGCCACTGTCTTTATTTGTACCGTGTTGGTCTTTATTCTGTTCGATTGTTTGGTGGAACGAAGGCAGCGGATTGTGCTGAACAGAGCACTCCAGTCAGGAGCCTTAGTGTCGAGTTTGTTTCCCGAACAAGTGCAGAATCGGCTCTACGATGAACATTCTGGGAACATCGGGAGGCGCAAACAAGACGAAGAGACCGCATGGAAGGTTGGCGACGGGCAAGATAATGTGGAAGGTGTTGGTCAAATCGCAGATGTCTACAACAACACGGTACGTATAGCTGATTTGCTTTTGTATTATTCAAACAGGAAGCATGCATCTCTGGCTTGTCTCAACAGTGTCTCGTTGTGCATGGCCCAACTTCAGACAATCTTCTTTGCGGATTTGGCCGGATTCACCAAATGGAGTTCCACCAGACAACCAAAAGACGTGTTTTTGCTCCTCGAGACTCTGTATAGTGCCTTTGATAACATTGGCGAACGGCGTAATGTCTACAAAATTGAAACCATCGTAAGTGAAGTTAGCTATTGGAAAAGCCAGTGAGAACTGAGTACCCACCAATGACTGACGCGTGTGCTCACGATAAACACCTCCAGGGAGACTGTTACGGTGAGTAGTTCAACAATCAGTGCGAGGGTGAAGTTCAGGTCGGAACCGAGCTCACTCACAGTGCAAATATATATTCTCGCAGTGGCAATTACTGGCTGCCCAACGCCCCAAGTCAATCACACAGTGATCATGGTCAAGTTTGCGAGAGACTGCCTGAATAAGATGGGCCAGTTGACGCACAAGCTCGCAGATACGTTGGGAGAAGACACCTTAGATCTGGGTTTCCGTGTCGGTCTTCACAGTGGCCCTGTGGTACGTGCGATGTTCACAGCTGCCGTTGCCTTCACGGTTCTTCGAGGAAACAGTGTCCTAACGTTTCATCTAATTGCTTTCTTCCATTGTTTGTCAAACTTCAGACGGCAGGTGTGCTCCGTGGAAAAAAGGTTCGTGTACAGTGGCATGGTGAGCTCTGGTCCTCTGCTGCCTTTTCCTGTCTAACACTTCACTTCTATATCTATGATATATCCCATGATACAGGCACGGTTCCAGCTCTTTGGCGACGCTGTCAATGTGGCTAGCAGAATGGAGAGGTAAGGAGAGAAGTTGTTGGGACATTGTCATAGCATCTGCAGGTGGGCTAATCATTCCTTGCCGTTCCATATTATGATCCTTAGCAATGGTGTACCAGGAAAGATCCACGTTTCGCAGGCGGTGGCGGATGAACTGATTGCTTCTGGAAATGGCTCCTGGTTGACCCCCCGGGAAGATATGATCGTTCCCAAAGGTAAAGGAACTATGCAAACCTATTTTGTACGGGTAGCATCCAGCCCTGGGACAAGCAAGAGTCACCTGTCTTCGCTTTCAAAAGCCACCAGTGATCGTAGCAAGAGTACCGGTACTAGCGCTGAACCCACGGTCGAGTCCAAGAGCTCTTTGGCTTCGATCCGTTCGGCGGACGAGGGAACAAAGGAGGAAGATGACTGGATCGAGCAACCAACGAATGAAGAGCCGGATGCAACCACTAACAGTTGGGTTTAGACCCTCAGGAGGAGGATGTGGATGTGGTAGATGAGTTTGCATAAGATTGTGTGCATTTGTTTGAAGTCCAGCTAACTTGGACTATTAAAATATATAACTAGCTTGATTGCATACGGTACCGTAGCTTGGTTGTCTGGTTCTCACCCTGGCAAATGCACACAGCCTTCGTCGAAGGAAACTACAAATGTGATAAGGAGTTGGCTGACTTTGCTGTCGATTGAATAATCCAATCATTCGGAAGAACACACAAATAGCAGCTACAATTGAGGTCTAACGTATCGTTTTGGGTAAATTCTCATGGCAAATACAGATGCAGATAGAATGGTTCAACTGTAACGACTTCTAACTGTGATTGGTGCCATTTCCAAGTAACCCGTTACTCTAAAATGTAGTTTGGTGAGACCGACCGAAGGGCAACCGTGAAGTGATTGTTTCTTCCATCTATTCATTTCTTCCTGGAGTCCATCAGTACTCATTTCTTCCTGGAGTTCATCAAGGCCACCACACCCACCATACCGGCAATGTAAACAGTGTGCCTATAAAGTTCATTCACGGGGCATGCCTTGCCTTCAACCTTCTCTTCGTCCTTGATGGCCGGTTTGGCCGCCATACCAGCCTTGATCGCTAGGGCAACGAATCCACCAACGTAGACGGCATGGCGGGCCCATTCTCCGAGAGGGCACTTGCTCGGTGCGCCAGCTACGGTAGCGGTGGCACCAAATCCAGCGTGCAACGCCACCATGCCTCCCACGTACAGAACATGGCGGATCAATTCTCCAGCCTGGGAGCCCTCCTTCTTGCTGTCGTCATCACCTCCACTCATGATTGATTCTCTGCTGCGCTGATCCTTCAATTCCTTCTTGATAGCAATAGGTCTTTCTACCTTAGTTTGACAACCAGTTCGACAACCAGTTCGACAAAATGATCACCACTTTGCTTATGCTATTCGTTGTCTTCTGTTGACTGTTCCGACCATCGGCAAAGCTTTTTGGGGCAGATGTTTCTGCAGAACCTTCGGCGGCTTCTCATCGGGTCGAGGAGTTCTGGTTTTGCAGTGACAGATGTTACTGCTGGCTTATTTCAACTTGTATCTTTGGATCTTTCCCAAGACGACTTTTGGATCTTTGGCCATCAACCACTCTCTCGGGGCCAAAACGAGCACTCCTCTTGACCATCAACAATACCAACACCAACCTGCCATCAATTTATATTATCACCCACATCAGTCAATCATCCTTCAAATAGCCCAGAACCATGTTATTCCTGAAGTCATCCACCGCCACACAGCTCTGGATTGTTCTTGTTGCCGTTGCCGCTGCTACTGTCAAAGCCGAATTTAAGCTCCCCAATCTCCCGTACGCCCACAAGGACTTGGAACCCTACATTAGCAGCTCCACTCTCAATGTGCATCATGGTAACCACCATGCCAAATACATTGCAACACTGAATCACCTTGTCAAAGGCGGTGGCCGCGACCTCAAGAAAATGTCATTGGACGAAATCGTAGTGGAAGCGCACAAGCGAGAAGATACAGGACTCTTCAACAACGCTGCTCAGTCCTGGAATCACGGCTTTTACTGGAAGTGTATGAAACCAGGTGGAGGAGGAGAGCCCACAGGATTGCTTTTGGAAAAGATTCAGGAACATTTTGGCTCTTATGCACAATTTGCCACCGAATTCAAAAATGCCGGCAATACCGCCTTTGGATCGGGATGGGCCTGGTTGGTGTACCACAAGGCGGGTGGGGCATTGCAAGTGACCAAAACCATTGGGGCAGGAAACCCCATGACCACGCCCGGTCTGGTGCCTATTTTATGCATGGATGTATGGGAGCATGCATATTATTTGGACTACCAGAACAAACGACCAGAATACGCCGACACCTTTCTGGAAAAGCTCGTTAATTGGGACTTCGTAGCGGACAATCTCAAGGAGGCCATGGAAAGCAGTGGACGAGGAGAGGAATTGTAAAAAGCCACGAGAAACACAGATTTCGCGTCGTGTCAACTCTAGAACTCCTAGCTAGGCAGTGAAAGAATTCTTTTTGTTGTTGTTGCAGTTGTTCACGTATGGCGTTCTTATTTTGCTACATAGCAATTATCGGTAGAAGCAACGATTGGATGGATTATTCCTACTTTCAAGGCTCAAGGTGCTTGCATGTTGTAATGTAACGGATAGCTTTGCTTGAGCTAGCTAGCTAGTTAGTTAGTTATTAGTTCAGCAGACCAAACAAAAGTTAGATCTATTCGAATGGGTGTTGAACTTGACGGGGGAGCTGATGTATCTGAACGTACCGTACCTGTGCGTCCAGACCACTCTGCAGGGTTGTAAGAGAATCCAGTGGAGCTGTTGACTGCATTCAAAGCCGGTCTTTTCCCCTTCGAAGCTTCGTGGAATCACAATCGAATCCTAAGTGATTGCGACATGCGACTAAGAAGTGAAGAAAGTTGAGCATTTAACAGTCTTGAAGCCGGTCTTTTCTCCCATGGGATCCTAAGTGCTTGTGACCTAGAGGTGAAGAAAGGGGAACATCCTGACCGGAATTGTATTATAATAGATGCCAAGAACCAGCTCATCTTCTATTCAGGGATTATTTGTTAATTCCATCGTGAACAAGGGACGGGACGATGAATTAGAAAAGCCATTTCACTATGACCACGTTGTATCTTGCCTTTCTTGGTTGCCAGTGGCAACGCGGAGAGACCTCACGATCTCTCAAGATCCGTTACCACACTTGGCACACCAAAGCAACAATGCAGAAAAATGATCCAGCTACATCGTAAAGATAGGGTAATAAATAGTAAAAACGTTTCAAACGTTACCGCATCCATGAATTGCCAATGACCATGCTATTCTTTGTGTTCACTTCCCTTGTGTGCTCAATGCTAAAAGTCTTTACAAAGTGAGCGAGTGTGCAAGTAGAAGTACTCAATGCTGAAGAAGGCATCTTTGAAGTGCGCCATGTCGTGTTTTTGGTCATAATGTAATGGTGGCAAGACGGCGAGATATCGTGCTGGGAAAAGTGATCCTATGGTATACGTAGCGCTGCGTAAGTTTGTACTGTAGCATCGTACTAACCCAGCTACCACAACCAAGCAAGACCTTCACCTTTATCAGGAAATCCAAAGACTATTACCGCTTTGCCGCGCCGTGCTTTTAAATTGACGATCAAGCAAGCAACCCGGTTACCAGTTAGCTGAGCTGAGCTGAGTGCGCGAGAGGGAAAAGATTTGCTTTGCTCATAATTGTCAACGCCAAGCGCTGTACGATTATACTCTCCCCCGACAAAACAACATGAAGTTGCTTCAAGCTGTTTCGTTCCTCTTGGTGGCCAACATGGCTGCGGCCGACCATGGCGTGGTGAGTGATTACTAGCTAGCTAGCTCTACTAGGAGCTGAAGATCGATCGTATAGGATATGCGGCGAAGTGGCCGCCGACGGTGTCCACAAGAGCTGTTGGCTGTATCTTTCTTGTCGATGCTACCAGCACTCTGTTATCGTGTGCCAACCGGCTTTGCTGTTGCTGTTGCTGTTGCGAACTCGGCGTTGTCTTATCGTTGTCTCGAGTCGAGTCGACTCGGCTGGGGCGCCTAGGCGGTTTCGGTCTGTGTCCCACTGGCCGAGAACTCGATTCAATCATTCGATTCAATCTTCTTTGATGATGATACTGGTACTAACAAAAGCCCGATTCTTTCGTTTGCCTTTCCTGCTCAGACCGCACTGCAAGCTTTCTGTGGTGTGGAAACCATGGGGGCTGACCCCCTCAATGGCGCCGGTGCCTTCTGCGAGGCGAAGGACCTCACCCTGCCCACCAAGGACGAAGTCTGCAAGTATTCCATGGACTCCCCCCTTGGCTATGAAATGGTGTCTACAAGCGACGCAGGAACTATTGATGTTAGCGTTGCCTGCGCCCCTCCGAATCCACCAAAGCCACCTTCAGATCGCACCCTCAACCAGTGCCCACAGTACGCCAAACCAGTCGAAGCTGGTGTGCCTCTGGATACCTCAATTCCCGAAATTGACAAGTGCCAAATGAAGCGCAAAGATTCAATGTTGAAGTACTCGCCCAACTTTCCCAAAGACAGGCCTGATGTGTACATCGAAGTTAAGATCAAGGAACCTCCTTACCACACATTCCAGTTTTACCCTTCGCTGTATCCCGATTTTGGCCCCAGCAAGAAAAAAGAAGGTGAAGGTTATGTTCCTATCGTTAACAAAACCGTCTATGATATTCTCTACAGTGTTCAACCAGATGAGGGAGGGCAAGGTTTCAACTTCCGATACATCAGCAAGAATGGACCTGGAGCGTGGCAATCGTGCTCCTATTCCCCCATTGCCTTTGATATTGGTATGGATGGGAAAGTTGGGCGCATTGAAGACACAGTCAATGGATACAAGATTGATATTACTGGTGATGGAGAGATTGAACACTTGAAGGGATGGTTTGCCCCCGATGAGGGAATCTTGATTGATTTACACGATGAAGAAGGATTGGTCGACGTCTCAGGTATCCACATGATGGGTGATATGGGTGGCAAGTACACTGATGGTTTTGCAAAGCTCAAGACTTACGATGCTAACTGTGATGACAAGCTTGATGGCGAAGAACTTGATGGTCTCTACATTTGGGTGGACAAGAACTCCAACCTCGAGATTGACAACCCAGATCTTCTTGACGATCCTGCCGGCGAGATGTTCACTCTTGGCTACTACAAGATCAAGTCTCTGAATACCATCCATGATGACCTCAAATCCTGTGCCGAATTGGAGGATGGTTCCCGCATGCTTATGCATGATCTCTGGTTTGATGGATTCGACGAGCGTCGTCGTCTTCAAAGTCTGAGAGGTCGTCGTCTCTTGGAGTCACGACAACTTGGTGGTGATGACTCCAAGGACAAGTCTATGTCCAAGGACAAGTCGGACTCCATGGATACCAAGTCCGGTTCCAAGGATACCAAGTCCGGTTCCAAGGATACCAAGTCCGGTTCCAAGGATACCAAGTCCGGTTCCAAGGATACCAAGTCCGGTTCCAAGGATACCAAGTCCGGTTCCAAGGATACCAAGTCCGGTTCCAAGGACTCTGGTTCTGATGATGGTGAGGCGGCTGTCTCGCGAGAAAAATGTGAAGCTGCAATTTTGTGTGGCCCCAAGCCCAGCACCCCTGAACCAAAAACACCCGAAGAGCCTGAAACACCCGAAGAGCCTGAAACACCCGAAAAGCCTGAAGCACCCGAAGAGCCTGAGGGATGTGGAGCAAAGCCAATCCCCGATCATCTCCCTATTGGAGGATATTATGAGGGTAACCCCCAGTGTACCTCGGGTGGATCGATGGCACCCCTTGGATTTGATTTTGGCTGGAAGATGGATGGTTGCCAAGATGGTTCCTACACTCTTGATAGTGCTCCATCAGGTGGTGGAGAGATTAAGGGATCCTGCGGCATTGCATCCTCGATTGTATTCGACGTCACATGTAATGCTGACAAATCAGCCACTCTTACTTGGTCTGGTGAAGGTTCCTCCAATGTTGTGATCAAGATGAAGGGTGGAAATGGTGGAAGATTGTATGGCGAAGGCCACAATGGAATGGATTTCTTCGCTGGTCTCACTAAATCAGGAAACCAAGCAGGCATCAGTCACATTGAAGTCTGTCTCAATTGTGTTGGTTCTGATTGCGTTCCTGAAACCCCAGAAGAGCCAGAAGAACCTGAAACCCCAGAAGTGCCAGAAGAACCTGAAACCCCAGAGGTTCCAGAAGAACCTGAAACCCCAGAAGAGCCCAAGTCTGGGTCCAAGTCCAAGTCTGGATCGAAGGATGAGCCCAAGTCCGGATCCAAGGATGACAAACCCAAGTCCGGATCCAAGGATGACAAGTCCGGATCCCCAAGTCTGGATCCAAGGATGACAAGCCCAAGTCCGGATCCAAGGATGACAAGCCCAAGTCCGGATCCAAGGATGAGCCCAAGTCCGGATCCAAGGATGACAAGCCCAAGTCCGGATCCAAGGATGACAAGCCCAAGTCCGGATCCAAGGATGACAAGCCCAAGTCCGGATCCAAGGATGAGCCCAAGTCCGGATCCAGGATGACAAGCCCAAGTCCGAGTCCAAGGATGACAAGCCCAAGTCCGGATCCAGGACGACAAGCCCAAGTCCGGATCCAAGGAGACAAGAACACAGCCCAAGTCCGGATCCAAGGACGACAAGCCCAAGTCCGGACCAAGGACGACAAGCCCAACTGGATCCAAGGACGAAAGCCCAAGTCGGATCCAAGGAGACAAGCCCAATCTGGATCCAAGGATGACAAGCCCAAGTCTGGATCCAAGGACGACAACCCAAATCTGGATCCAAGGACGACAACCCAAATCTGGATCCAAGGACGACAACCCAATCGGATCCAAGGACGACAAGCCCAAATCGGGATCCAAGGACGACAAGCCAAAGTCGGGATCCAAGGACAACGAGCCCAAGTCGGGATCCAAGGACGACAAGCCAAAGTCGGGATCCAAGGACGACGAGCCCAAATCGGGATCCAAGGACGACAAGCCCAAGTCGGATCCAAGGACGACAAGCCAAAGTCGGGATCCAAGGACGACAAGCCCAAGTCGATCCAAGGACGACAAGCCAAAGTCGGGATCCAAGGACGACAAGCCCTCCAAGTCGGGATCCAAGGACGACAAGCCATCAAGCGACTCCAAGGACGACAACCATCCAAGGACTCCAAGGACGACAAGCACAAGTCGGATCCAAGAGACAAGCCATCCAAGGACTCAGGACGACAAGCCATCCAAGTCAGGATCCAAGGAGACAAGTCCGGATCCAAGGAGACAAGCCATCCAAGGACGACAAGCCATCCAAGTCAGGATCCAAGGACGACAAGCCATCCAAGGACAGACAAGCCATCCAAGGACGACAAGCCATCCAAGGACGACAAGCCATCCAAGTCAGGATCCAAGGACGACAAGCCATCCAAGTCGAAGAAATCCAAGTCTGCTGATTCTGGCGAGGAACCTGGCGACAAGTCTGGAGGTCCTGATAGTCCAACCTGTGGAACCAAGAATCCTTGGGATGGTTTGAACTTGTGGGAAATTGCTGATCAAGGCATTGATTTCCCCACCTGTGGTGATGTTGGTCAAGTTGAGTCACTTAAGGGTGCTCCCTTGATGAAGGGTGGTGAATGTGAACGGGTTAATGTTTGCTTTGGAAATGCTGGCAATGGCTGGATTCCGAAGACTGTTGACCGTGATGCCATCGGTGAGGACAACAATGGTCAAGGTGGTCTTGCCAGCTTCAATCAAAACAATGGTGAAAACAAGAAACCTAACTATTTCCCGGGAAGCCAGTCTGTTGCCAACCCGAATGGTGGTGCTAATGGTGTCATGAATGAAAACTGTGATTTCGTGTGCGACCCATGTGAAGAGTACACCTGTGATGATGGAACTGTTGTGAAGAGGATTCTCCCCACCTGTGCGTTTGCGCAGTGCCCAGATGACCAAGACAGCACTGATGTGACCACTGACATGGTTTTCAGTAAGTACTTTGATGATGTCATTGTCAATCTTGTGTCCATTTCCGGTTGGCTCATCGCTTTTTCCTTCCTTTCCTTTTTTCAGCTCGTGGAGATCCCCACTTCAAGACTTTCGGAGGAGAGCTCTATGACTTTCACGGAGAGTGCGATCTTGTTCTCCTTCGCAATCCTGAATTCAAGAACAAGCTGGGCATGGATGTCCATATTCGAACCAAGATTACTGACTGGTGGTCATCTGTAGAATCTGCTGCCGTCCGCATTGGAGATAGCACTCTTGAGATCTTTGCCAATGACAATGGAAAGGACTGGCTTTGGATCAATGGACAAGTCAATGGAGACTTAAAGGATGGAAAGTGGAACCGTGCTGATCTTTCTGGATTCATGGTGCGCTACAAGGAGACTGATGGCAAGTTCGGGCTCACCCGTCAAGTCAACATCTACTTGGAAGGTGTAAAGGAAGTCATGATCCTGAAGACTTTCAAGTCCTTTGTTCGTGTTGACATTGACTGGAAGGACAGTGAGAACTATTATGGTTCCACTGGACTTCTAGGAAGTCATGCTCACAACGGAGCTCGCCTTGGTCGTGATGGAGAGGCCATTACAGACCTCAATGCCTTCGGTCAGGAATGGCAGGTGCTGGCTACTGAGCCCCAGCTGTTCCACAGTTATGATGGAGCTGTGCTGCCACCCAACAAATGTGTCCTTCCTGATATGGGTGGTGCAAAACAGGCTCTGCGCAAACGCCGCCTTGCTGAGGGTATGCCACGCGAAGAAGCTGAGGCTGCTTGCAGCCACTTGGTGGATTCTGCGGAGAAGGAGGCTTGTGTCTATGATGTCCTTGCCACCCAAGACTTGAACTTGGCCAGTGCTTGGTAAGACAGTGGAATGTTGCGTGCAGTACCCATTTGGCTGAGTGACGAAGGTAGCTGTTTGTGGGAGGCGCATAGCTCTTAAAACCAGTAGTTGAGATTATTTATTAAAAGGGGTTTGCATGTCGCTCTCTGTGATGCTGCGCTGAGATTTGCAATTGTGTTCTTTGGTGTTTGAGAAAGTACAATACCGCACCTGAGCTCCCAAAAGCCTACGCGGATTGTCTTTTTTACAACTGCTTCCGTACAGCCTCCGGCAGGTCCCCCGCTTGAGGCCGAGGCCCCGTGTTGTCCACTTTTTCTCCTGAGAGATGCTTCCTTGGCCCTAACTACATTGCTATTATTACTGTTTTTGAACACTCTCAATAGTTGCTGTCTGCTGTCGAGGAGTAAGAGGCAGACCCAGTTGCTGTCTTTCGAGTGACGGGTCTGTTATTGTTGCCAGCGTGGCCCGAATCTTCAAAAATAATGCCAAAAGGGCAGAACAGTTCAATTCAGCTCGTTGTCTTCAAATCTTGGGCGAGTACGTCCGGTGGCGCTACCGGTACCGGTACTCTATTTGCGCCTCTTCTCACCCGTACCGGTACCATTGTACCTAACAGTCGCCACGCCAGCAGCAGTTTCGTTGCTATCTGACAAACTCGAGCGTCTTAACTTTGGCAAGTATAGGAGCATCTTTTGTGCTGCGGTACAGATAGTAGCTACGCATGTGAATGCTTCGTTCGTTCCAGGCTGCTTTCGGCAGTGTCCTCACTGTTGTTCTCGTTCTCGTCAAGCACGAGCAGTTAGTCTGCAAAGTACGTGTAGTTTATTTCTACGCGTAGTGATTGAGTTAATAATTAGTAGCTAAGATAGATAGTCTGCCTATTCTCAACCAGTCAGTTCCAAATGCAGACTGACCAGCCAACATTTTACAAAGAAGAGAGAGATATGCAAGCAACCTACCAAGTACTATACTATGTTTCTGTGCTCCTGCATCAAGATGCTTTTCTCCGCCGTACTCACTTTACTACGATTGGTCGTGCCTCGACGCTCATTCTTTGTATTGTCCTCGCCCGCTGCTTCCGGCGTGACAATCACTCCGCAGAGTATCCTTTCTAGAGAACCATTCCAGACGCAGGCATTGGCTGCAACAAGGCTATTGGTGTAGCATTTTGTGTACGACGAGCTCTCCGACAAGCACAAGTGGGGAGAATCGTCGTTGCATCTTCATTTCAGTAAGACACAAGTCGTTCCTTGAGTAAGAAGAATGGTTGATGGACTACAACAGCTGTGTCGATTCACTTTGCGCGACAAGTATATTGCGGAGGATCTCGTTCCAGTGCTATCCACCGCCTTGGTAAGCAACATCCATCCATGTCTCTACGAAATTCTTGCTAGTATGAACCGATACTTCTGCTTGAAAGTGTCATTGCATCCGTCCCTGGAAGAATCAAAAAGGCGGAGAATTGAGATGAAAATTACACCAAGACTTCGATGCCCTTGAATCCCTTGAATCCCAATACTACCAGGTAGAAGTCGATATAGTTACATGCCTTGATTGTGAAGAAGAACCCGGTGCAAACCTTTGTTCGAACGCCTTCTTCCATAAAGAGCGTCTTCTTACTATCTTTGGACGAAGCTGCCAGCACCGGGAAATCACGGGGTCAACGTTGACTTCCCATCCTTGGGCAACGAAGAATCTCTGTTCTTCTCCACTTTCGGTAACGCCACTCGTTCTAAAGCATCATTTTGTTTGGCAGCCAAGCCGGTAATAATTAATATACAAGGCCAAACTGTGAGAGCTTGATTCAAAGCCACCACGGTCTGAAATCCTACAGCTTTTCAACAGCTCCCTTCCTCGAGACCCAATGCATCGATTTAACTTTCTTTGGTTCCAGTTTCCTTTTGCACTGGCTACTAGCTAGGTACCGGCGGGCAATAGTCTTGGGTTGCTTTCCTGTTTCTCGGGTGAAGATCAGAGTACTAGCTAGTCTAGTATGTCATGGACGACTGACAGCCTTAATTATGCTTCAGTAGTAGTAGTTGTTGTTGTTGCAGTAGTGGTGGTGGTGGTGGCGGTGGTGGTGGTTTTTTGAAGGCTTTGAAGCTTCTAGATTGCGAGCCTATTAATCATTAATCTACCTAGAAAATTCATCTCCTCATTCTCACTTCGGTGAGAACAGCTCTTGTTCGGTTACTCTTGGGCCTCCAAATCTCTCTCTTTTACATTCAAACATTGCATTATTGCATCCAAATTTCATTTACTTACATCCAGAATATCATTGCTGGACACACGAGGTGAGTACATCCTAAGGTGCTTACAGACCAAAGAACTCCAAATACTCCACTTAAGAATCACAGTTCCCTTGGAAATAGTCCTCGGAACACCCTCTCCTCTTTGGCTGGAAGCCCATACTTCAATCTTCTTTAACAAACATTCAATACTCGTCGTCTCCACAGAAAGTGCCCACGTGCTTCTTGTAATCACTTCCTCCAACGTTCTTGATGAAAATGTCACTGCACGTTTCCGTGTTCGAGATCCACTTCACATAAATCGTCTCTTCTTCCTTCAACTCGCGAAGGAAATTGATCCTTGTTGCCACATGTCTTGTACGTCCTGTAGACATCCAGCCATTGGCCAGATCAACGGTGCCCTTGTTGTCCATGTACAGAATCATTGGTTTCTTGACCTTCAACGCCATGGATTCTAAAATGCGCATCGTGTACAGTATGTCTTGTGCACACTCCGTGCCGGCCACGAATTCCGCTTTGGTCACAGACAGCGTCATACACTTCTGCATCTTGCTTCTTGCCGTGACCAGCGCGTTATTCGGGAATGTAGATACTCCTGAAACGCTTCTTCGTGTCATTGGATCTGCTGCGTAATCCGAGTCCGACGGTCCATGCACGACAAACTTGTAGTCTCGCGATCCATCCCACGTGCCCACTGGCTGCAACGTTAAGCCCCTGTTTGGAGTGCACGTGCAGTAGTCCAAAAGTCGGTACATTGCTTTCATATGGGCCAACACAGAGGAGAGTTTACCTCAGTTCCTCCCAACTTTAATTGTGAAGCATTTATTTAAGCATTTTCTACCAAGGCTACATAAAAACTAGTGACTTAGACCAACACACAGGAGTAAGATTTGATGAACGCAAACCAGAATACTATTATTTTACTATACGTCTGTACCATGGATTGTAAATATACGGCTCCTGAGAGTATGGCATGTGTCCAGAACTATTGAAACGTACACTATTACTATACGAGTTTCTTCAATGCAGGATTTGAATTATTGGCTTATATCTTTGAGGGCTCTCCTAATACGCCTCCAGAGAGTATGTCATGTGTCACGAACTATTGAAAAGTATACTATTACTATACGGTTTGAGTCAATGCATGATTTGCGATTAAAGCTTATATCTTTAAGGGCGCCCTTACTAACGCCTGTGCAGGATAGCTAATGTCTTATTTTAACTAGTTACAAAAATGACATAAGCCAGAAAATTCGAATCCTGCATAGCAAATGACGCTATAAACAATTCTGTACGAATCTAACAAAAAGGTTAATTACGATTGCCTACTGTTTTACTATATGTATTCGCTCTGTGCAGGATTCGTGTTCTTTGGCGATTTCACGGAACATGATAGCACGATCAATGCATGTTTCAAAAGTCACCTTTACTTATGCCTATGCAGGAAGCGATTATACTGGTTAACAGAAGATATAAGGTCGCTAGTTCGATTCCTGCGTAGCAAGTTTTTTGCACCCCTTGTATCTTTTACTATGCAATCTGCAGTACGCATTCACCAGGGAGGGCAGTCACAAATTCTCATATGGTGCCCTTTGTCAAGCTAGGACTTAAAAAATTCAAGTCCTGCTTATCAACGATTTTACACTATTTACTATACACAGTACTGTATGCATCTACTAATTTCACAATTCAAAAAGGAATTTAGTACCGTTTGTGCAAACCACACTACGATTCTATAGTAAAATAGTATGATTGTGCTTTGTCAACACGAAATGGTACTCTGTCTCGCTGCATGCTAGCTACCGGTACTACCAGTACTTACCTAGCTAGCTAGCTACTAGCTATAGAGCCACTCTCCTCTTTCTTTATCTTCTAACTTTCTTTAAATAAAATAATTTTATTTCAAATAAAACCTATGCTCCTCAGTGGCTCCCCTAGGGTCGTTAATGTGGCGTTGCCGCCAAATCTTGAGAGTTCTCTTCCTCTGTTGAGAACATCTAGTCTGCTCCACCTCATCATGTGGAGAATCTTGCCCACACCCGACATGTACTTTGCTTGGTCCTTGTCTTCGATCTTGGCGTCTGGTTCTCCTGCTCTTAGGACGTCACCAGCTACTGCTGGTGTACTGTGCGACTGGCCTGGCAATCCGAATTCGTCGCGATAACTTTGAAGGAGCACTGGTTGAGTGAACTTCAACGTCTGGTTCTTCCAATCATGGTCGACCTTGCATCCAACGTATTCTTGGAGTTCTCCAACATCATCACATTCGAAGAACTGCTGCAAGTCGGACTTAGCAGCAAACACACGCCCTTTTGGTCCTATGATCAGGCAATCGTCAACCCAGCTGATCAACATCACCAGCCCTTCTTTCATCCACTTGAAATGCAAGCATGAATCGGCCTTGCTTCTTGTCATCTGCATCTTCCTTAGAGCGTCCACGAGCACTCTCCACCACTGTAGTACTGCCTGTTTGGTCCCGTACAATGTCCTCATCAACAACAAGACAACGTTTGCTGGAAGCAAACGCTCGAAACCTTGTGGGATTTGGATGTAGATCTTGTGTTCTGGTCGGAATCTATGAATTCCTAATTATCTTAAAAATATGTCTTTGTTTGCTCGGTGACACTGGAGGCAATTTCCTGGTATATATACCATTTCATCACTCCCCCATTGCCGAACAACTCTGCAGGTTCTCTCGAATCACGTCGTGGGACTGGTGATTCTTGAGTTCGAGCAGTTGGTGACACCCAGCACTAATTCGCATGTACTGGTGTGTATGCAGGTATTTATTTACGCTTTAGCGCTGCCTGTACTCAAGCGCTAGCCTTCAAGATCATTGGAAGGGATCTTCTTACGTACGTCAGTAGAGGTTCGTCGGGTTCTCATCCGGAACTGACGTCAGTGGAGGTACGTGTTCTCTGACGCGACTCGTGTGTTCTCCCCCGGAACCTTGTAGAAATTCCGGGACTATGTGGGGAACTCCGAGTGTGGATACTACTGTACGGTGTTCTTCGGCGAATGCAAGGGAAGCGAACTGATGCTATCTATCTTGCATACGGAAGGGTACTGACTGTGGTGGTACCAGTAGGATACTCGTACGTTCTTCGCTTAACTCACGAACGGTGGTGGAGAGCCATTTCTGAAGGACTTAGACGATTTCACTAGTTGTTTGCCATGCAGTGTCACGGTGGGAAGGAGAACCCCCCCAGAGCATGACTACTATGTTATCTATTGAACATCTTTATACTATTTGACTGTAGAGGCTTGCTATCTCTAAGCCTGGAGGTGAACTTCTCCCCCAAGTCTTTACGAGGAATGGTTGGTGTTGCACGGGGAATTGAAGACCATAACTCCCCCGGAACGGGTGGTGTTCGTGTTCAGGTTCCAAGCCTACTAATGAATCATATACTACGGAGTAGAGGGGGACTCACGGGGTACCCTTACAGTACTGTTAATCCTATGAATTCCTAATTATCCTAAAAATATGTCTTTGTTTGCTCGGTGACACTGGAGGCAATTTCCTGGTATATATACCATTTCATCAGGAATGGGGCAAGCAAGAACGCTCCGCAAACGTCCATTACTTCTGCCCAACATTCTCCCAGCAGCATCAGAATAAGGCAGATCCTGATGGTGTGCTCAGCTGCCACTGGTGCCGCTTTGTCGTCCTCATCATAATGCTCGCCATCTATCTGCTCGAAGCCACGTGCCACCATTCTGGCACGGAATTTGCCATTCGATTTCTTCTTCATTGCCCATTTCGTTGATAGGACAGTAGACCCTTGTGGCAAGTCATCGACCTTTTTGGTATTCTTCTTCGACAGCATCTTGCCACTCTTCTTTGTCACCGGTGGCCATTGCTTCGTTATATGTGAGCACGTGTAGTTCATGCGCGTTGGTAAATCCTCCACCAATGCCGGCACCGACACATGCCACTTCTCCAAATGCTTCTGGGAAACGTTCCATGGCATCATAGTAGCGTTCTTCTGTCGCTTTTAGGCCAATCTTGTAATCTGCGGTTGCGCCACCAACCTCCATGGTCTCTATTAATCTATTTGGTCCCTTCACCGTGCGACCTGATCGTGTCTGCCTTGTTTTGGGTACTGCCCCTTCGACTTCTCCTGTGTCGCCAGGTTCTTCACCTTCCGGTTCTTCGTTCCCTTCTTCCAGGTTCTCTTCTCCTTGGAATTCTTCTTCGACGCCGATTTCATTCGAGTCGACCAACGTATCCTCGTTGTTTGTTCCCTCTCCAGCTTTCTTGCTCTTCGGGTAGTACATCCTGTGTAACCACATAACGTCTCTTGTTACATGGACTCTCCTTGTGTTCGGGTCCCACATCTCGTAACAATTGCCTGCATGTGCAGCTGGATACCCAACAAACATGCAGACGACACCACGGTCCTTTCCTTTTGGCTGTAGCTTGGACGTTATCGTGACCGTACCTGCTTCTCCTCTTGAGGTGATCAACATACGGTGGATTTTCACCCAGAATGTGCTCGTATCGCGTCTTCAGTGTTCCTTCCAATCGCACTGGTACCAATCCATCGAGTTTGGTTGCTGTTTCTGCTGCTTTCGGGAACACCAAATGTCTCACATATTCTGGTACGTTGGCATCGGTACACATGGCTCTGGCTCTGTTTCCGATAACACGAAACCCAACTTCCACTGGTGAGTTCTGCTGCGGTGTGTCTCTTGCAGTGCACACATAGGCGAGTCCAAGTCTCCAGTCTTTGCTTTCACATCTCTTCTCGGGTTTCTTGTTTTCTCCAGCATTATCCATGCGTAAATACTTTGGCATGATGCTGTTGCTCTTCATTCGGTAGAGCTTTTCTGCTGTTGGTTCGATCATTCCACTCTTGCTCTGGAACATGTCGGTGATCTTCAGTCCTGCATAGCCGGAAACCATCATCCTCCATACTTTGCAGATTGTTCCTGGTTCACCACTCTTGTTGTCGCGTCTCCTAAGATCGCAGCAATCGAGGTAGAATCGATCTGCATCTTTGGTTGCTTGCGAATCAACCTCTGTTCCTTTAGGAATGTTCTTTTGCTTTGCTTTTCCGATGGAGCATGCTTCACACGTGTCCAGCGTTCCTCTCGTAAGTGTCCACCCTAAGTAGGCTGCCACCTTGCGAGTGGTATCTTCGTTGATGTGTCCCAGTAGACTGTGTGCTTGTAGGATGTTGCACTTCTTCTTGGGAGTCTCGATGTTTGACATCCCAACTTGATGTCGAATCTGAGCTCCATGTCTCCTTTCTGGATGGCAATGTGGTCACCATCCCCACTCAACGACCAACCATTCATCAGTCTCTTGGTAATGCTCACCAAATTGAATGGACAGTCAGGACAAACTGACACTTCTTGGAACATTATGTTTGTTCTGTTCCTTGGTTGTTGCATTGGATCATGGCCAATTTCCCAATCTTCTTTGCGTTAGATAGTGTGCCGTTGGATGTCATTGCCGAATCACTCTTGTCGGCATCCTTCAATCTGAATAGCCCTGTTATGTGCCTCGTCATGTCGGTTGTTGCAGCTGTGTCAGCGACCCAGATGTCTGGATCATTCAGGACTTCCATGGAATCCGGGAACATTTGTAGTCCTGTTGTAGCACACATAATGGAGTGCCCTTTCCAACCAGTGATTGTTGCTCCTCCGACTTCTCCTCCTCCATTGTTGGTCTTCCGGGAGACCCAGTTGTTAAGTCTTTTGCTTGCGTTCTCTGGCAATTCCCAGCAATCTCTCTTGAAGTGTGGTCCACCACACTCCCAACATGGGCCTTTCTTCTTGAACTTTTCTTTGAAGTTCTTCTTCCCGTTGTTGTTCACCGCGGCCATCACCACTTCCTTTCCATTGCCTTCTTGTTTCTCGGTAAGTTTCTGTCCATTTGTGAGTCTCCAATGCTGCATCATGGCGTTCTCCAAATCTTCCAGTTTCAATGCATCACCTTTAATGCATTGTTCACAGGTGATGATTGACTGGTATCCAAGTGGTGCTGCAGCCATTGCTGCCGCGATCAAGTCATCGTCATCCACCGTTCCAGCAGCAGAAGAAAATCGATTCCTAATGCCTCTGAGCTTCTCGAACAGTAGTGCAGGTGACTGCTTTCCGTCCATACGGAGCCTTGTGAGTTGGAGCCGTAGTTCAACTCTGCTGATTGTGTCTTGGGGCCTGAATCGTTCGAACAGTCCCTTGACTATTAAGTGGGCTTTGCCACTCGGCCATTCATTGGATCTTGCTGTCAACAAGATTCCCAACAAATTTTCACTTGCGAATGACAACGTAAAGTTGTACACCACCATTGTGTTTCTCTTTCTTGCGTCTGTGTTAGGTTGTGTCTTGTTTGCTCCTAACCCTTCTGCAGCTGGCAACTCGCCTTCTGCTGTGGTCTTCAGAGCTTGTGAGAACTTCAATAGCATGGCGTATCCAGAAAATCGCATCCACCACATCTGAAAGTCTTCTTGCTTTCCGGTGAACATAGGTTGCCTTACGCTTTTCGATGTCTCATCTTGAATGTCCGCCATCTTGATATCGTTCTGTGGCAATCACTTTGGTTGCCACCAATCCTCTGTACTTCCAGGATTCACACCGATCGATCGTTTCGGTGTCGACAATCAACCTCAACCTTTCGCTGTTAATACTTAAGTATGTTTGAAGGTTTGAAGCTTCCAGATTGTGAGCCTATTAATCATTAATCAACCTAGAAAATTCATCTCCTCATTCTTACTTCGGTGAGAACAGCTCTTGTTCGGTTACTCTTGGGCCTCCAAATCTCTCTCTTTTACATTCAAACATTGCATCATTGCATCCAAATTTCATTTACTTACATCCAGAATATCATTGCTGGACACACGACGATGAAATTAGCAATAGGAGCCTCTATGGGTGCGCCACAGCTGTGCTGGTTTAGTCGGATGGAAACAATGCTTTTGATCGTGTACAGTCAATCAGTACACACAGCATTGCAGCCATGTGACAATTTGTATATAGCTGAGGCATGCCTATGTGTTCCAGAGCATATAGCCTTCAGTCTAGATACAATGGAATGATCCAGGCCAACAGTCCTCTCCTAGGATCTCCAACAGTAGGATATCCTCTCCAAAAGAGCCAGTTCTGTCAACTGGAGTGAAATCGTGGTAATGATGTTTAGCTTATAGTAAGAAAGATAGTAATGAAAGAGTAACCCCTGAGACCCAGTAGCACCCTCAGCCCTGCAGTAGATAGATTCCTGCGAGGTATGTGCTAGGGCAATGTAACCAGCTCCCCAAGTACTTTGAAGTAGTGATTGGGTAGCATTGATCCAGCTCTTTTGAGCTGGCCTTTCAGCCAGTGGAGGAGATCTTCATCAACCAGAGATCTCCCTCCCAGCTCCTGTGTTCCTACAACTGAGCTCCCTGGCGGAGATTCATAGGATTAACAGTCGCATAGCGACACAAGAGTGGCTACACAGAGCGTACAGAGTGAAAGAGTGGAAGACGAGTGGAAGAAGAGGAACCGCGACACGAAAATCGCGATCGTGCCGAAAACTGGAATCGCGACCGATTCGAGCGGAACCAAGTGGTCCACCTACTAACCTGGACATCCTCTACAAGCTACCATTGTTGCAAGCTTGTTAATCGGCCTAGGTAGACCGGCCGATAGTGGAATAGACCGCCATTGTCGCAATCGATCGATCCGTACGAAGATAGCGATTTTCTCAGTCGTGCTTGGAGGATACTGGCAAACAAACCGGTACTCACAAGACACGTACCTCTTCCGAGTGACGTTTGTTCCGAAAGCAAGCCGAGCCTGAGATCCAACCGGATCCTCACATTTTCGTTCGAAACACGAACTTTGCCTTGACTGGACGCGAAGGAACCCGGAAAGCCTCGAAGATACGTGTCGATCGCTCGCTCCGTGTACGAGTTGATTGACAGCCTCTAAGGTAACTCCAGGTACCACGGCAACACCTTTCGAGCTGTTAACAAGGTACCCAAGGATAGTAGTGGATAGAGGAGGTTCTGCTTGGTCATCTACTAGCAGTGCAAGCCCTCAACTCCTCATTTTGGATTTTCTGTGATTGTGTTTGTGCAGCACCTCTCCAGCCACACATACACACACCAACACCAACAATACTCATCCAACCGGTACCCTTCCAAGGAACAGCAGGCAACACCACTACACTACCACTACACTACTACACTGTCTAGCCAGCGCACCAATCATCATGGGCCGCAAGAAGAAGAAGCAACAACAGGAAATGGATGCCAGTGACACCATATCACTAGCATCCAATGGCACCAACACACAGGAGAACACCAACAGATCCACTACTGCAGAGGCACCAGCTCCAGTTCCAGCTCCTGCCAGAACACCTGTGGATCCCCCAGGCTGTTTGTTACCACCACACCACAGTGCCACCTCCAACTTGGCTTCCTCCAATCTAGCCAACCATGACACAACAACAACAATGATCAGCCAATGACTTGAGCAGCTGACATTGGCATTGACAGAGGCATCAAAGCAAGCTGCCCTTGATCCTTGCAATGCACCTCCCCTCCATGGCATACTATCCCATGGCTCTATTCCTAGAACACCTGTGTTATCACTCAAGCCCAGCCCTGAGATAAAGGCTGGGAGGACCGATTCAGAACCAGGCAGTTTGGAACAGAGCTTGTTGGGTGATGTTAGGGACCCTCTTGGTTATCCATTCCAACTGCATGTTGCCATGGATGTTGCCTCTCCATCTATTGGAGATGGCTACTATGACCAAGTATGGGCCCCCAATGGGGAGGAATACACCCACCAACCAACAACAATCCCAGGAAATATTCAGTGTCGAAGACCTTGTAAGAAGCCTTGTGCTCTGGCTATGACGATGAAAGCCTATACCAAGTGTCGAACTCTTGTTGGATCTAAGAGTAGGTAGGCTGTGGCATCTGCCTTGGCACGGAAGTACCTGCCTTCCGGGTTCTGGATTGCCACCGCCTCCACCTCCTCCAGGACATGGATCAGTTCCATCAGGATCTCCTTGGCCACCGTTGTCATTACCTTGTGGATTGCCACCAAAGCAGTCTGGATTTCCTGACCAACAGGACCTGCTACATTGTTGGGACTGCTTCCCTGCATCCTTTTCATGGGAGACATTCCATGCATGTTGGAGAAGATGGATTGCTTCACTGTGGTTGTGGCCATTGGCTCCCCAGAGGATTGGGAATGGAGTTCCTCTTTGACTGCTCCTCCAGAGGCACAAAAGGTTGGCTGATTGAGGGATGGCTGAATCACTGGTGTCTGGGATGAGACAACTCCAGTAGGTTGGATGGTTGAGGACACAGGTTGGATGGGAGTGTCTCTACCCTGGGGTGTGA